TCAAGGATTTTGAGTCAGATTTCCAATGGTACTAATTCCATTCTTAGATTCAAATCATAGTGAGAGTTATTTATGTTTTAGTGAGGTAGTGTCAGTTTTCGCTTAAATCGGGAATGGGCGTTTTTGTGGGATTCTTGGCCAATGTCCTTAGAACATTTTGGAATGTTATAAAATGATTATTTTAGGTTGTATAGACCTCATTTGACATGTTTGGAGTCAAATTTCCCTTCTTATTTGTAAATTAACCATTTTGCCCCTTTGACTAACAAATTTTGCCCATTTTGACTCTCATTTCCTCTTTCGCTCTCTTTAAGTTCTGTGACTTCATGGAAGGTCACATTGGTGCCTTAGGGATGATTTATGTCTCTAGAGACCTTGGTTTGTCTTATGCTTTCGCATTTCAAATCCGTTATCGGGTTAACTTTCGGGTCATCACTAATGCACCGGGTTACAAAACTTAGGCCATCACAAGACTTGCCGTTTCAACGCTACAACACATTTTTGGTCATTTGGGACATCTAGGAGTTCATTGGATCCTTCCCTTTAACCAGATCCATGCAACGATGTTTCTTCTCCGGTAAGCATATCGGACCGCAAATGCATAAACCCAACCGAGCAACTTGTTGATTTTTACCAAAGGAATTGTCATTCCCATAGACAGCGCCAACTATTGGGGAGAAAATCTTTACAGTCCAGAATAACACCATAACCTACAAAACAATAACGGCTAAGTCACTTTGGGTGGCACTGTTGTGGTGCCGACCGAAGACCCTCCGATGATCAAGTCGGTGAGCGATTGAGAGGAAAAAAATATGTTCGTCATAAGACACATAAGTTTTTATCATACTTCATTTAATGATTCTTTCCCATATTTACAGGCCTTTTTGGTATCCAGTCAATTAAGTATATGTCAATGGTAGAGATTTGGTTTATTGTCATCAACAGAGTTTATTTATCTTCGTCAATTGAATGACAACGTCGTTATCGTAGACGATCACTATCCTCAAGAAATTGAAGAGTACTGGTGGTTGATCAACATAAGATTATTTTCCCTTTTTTTTTTTTTTCTTAAATGACGGAAATTTTATAAATTTTTCAAGTAAAAGTATAATTACACACGAGGAGAACCCTCATAATATCCCATAAATAAAGGGATACACCTAAACAAACCCTAGAAATCAAAAGCATTCAAGATCCTATGATATCCTGGAGGCATACCCCTAAGACATCTATAACATCCCAAATGATACATTTAACTAAAACCATATGATTTCTAGAACCCTCATCATGTAACCTACGATTCCTTTCATTCTAAATGGAATAAAGAGTGGCAGAAAACATCATTTGAAGCAACTTGTTCCGGAAAGAATTTATCTTCACTTGCTGCACCAAAACTGTCTTGAATCCCTCAAGTGATTTCCAACCTGTAATATCCCAATTCAGAATCTCCCCCAAACCATACGAAACAAGCTTTGTAAATTCACATTGACAGAACATATGCTCAGTGCTCTCCACATTACCCAAACATAAGGCATATCTAGAAGCTAACTAAACTCCCCTTCTTTGAAGATTTGTATGTGTTAAAATTCCTTCCTGAGGTGTTAACATTGCATGCACTAACCAACGAGGTCTTCCCCTATTCCAACACAAACTAAACCAATTAACTTCTGGAATAGGAACCCTACAAACCTCCCACGCAGCTCTGAAAGTAAACTCATCCCTCTGCCACAACACTTTATCTGAACCTCTAAAAATACTATACTGATTAAAAAACTGAAGCATCTCTTAAAGATCAGCAGTAAATTTATCAATATCCTAAGCATTATTAGAAAGTAAATAACTTAGGGGCATGTCCTTCACAGGATGCAAAGCCCTCAACATCCTCTAACTAAATTTCTGGGACAAAAAGCCTTCACACCAAGGATCTAAGAACAACTTTATAGAAAAGCCATCTCTAATTTTGTAACTGCATCCTAACAACATCATTTCCGTTACTGCAACAATGTTCTTCTAGGTAAATGAATAAATATCACGAACCACAGCTTACCAATAAGCTATATTTCTAGCATAACAAATTTCTAAACCAAGCCACCCATAACCTATCTTTTGAAATCAGGAAATCCCAAGCAAGAGAACACTTTGCAGCCTTGTCCATGTCCATTAATCTTCGAATACCAAATCCACCTTTAGCTTTAGGAGCAGTAATTTTTTTCCACCCTAAGCCATGAAGCTTTCTCACATTATCCTCATACCCCCAAATGAAGTTTCTCATACTTCTTTCTATGGTATTGATCACTGTGGCCTGCAAAGAAAAAATAAAAACCCAATAGTGCACCAGAGGAGTGATCACTGCCCTTACCAACTCCACTTTCCCAGCCAATGAAAGATTTAGCCCTGCCTAAGTAGTGGTAGATGCAATCTTTTTCTCAAAAAGAGGTTTGCAATCTCTAATTTTAATTGCCTTGTCATAAATAAGAAGTCCCAGGTACTTGAATAAAAGTTTTCCCAGCTTGCAACCCAGAATAGAAAGTACAGTTTTGCTTCTCTTTACTGTCCTAGTTAAATAAACTTCAGATTTTTCTTTATTAACCCCCAGACCAGAGGTACATTCGAATTGTTTCATAAGCCTCTTCAAAGTTACAACACTGCCCAAGTTAGCTCTAACTACAATCAACAAATTGTCTGTAAATAGTTGATGTGAAACAGGCACCTCAGACTTTCTAACAGCCTCAGAAATCACTAAATTACCTTTGTTAACTTCACATGCAAACATTAATTCCTGATAAGTATTCTGTAACCAAGGTAAAAAGAAGAGGAGATAAGGGGCACCTTGTCTCAACCCCCTACTTGATTTGAAATACCCGGCAGGATTTCCATTTATCAGCAAAGAGAACCAAACAGTTGAGATACATTCTTTAATCCACCCAATCCATCTATTACCAAAACCAAACTTGTTTAACAACTGGATCAAAAAATCCCATTTAACTGAATCATAGACCTTTTTGATGTCCACCTTCCATGCAATGGTTGGTTTGGTATGATTGTGACCAAACCTTTTCAGCAATTCATGAGCCAAAATTATGTTATCTTGGATTTTCCTTCCCTTAATGAAAGCATTTTGTTCTTGTCCCACCAAATTTCCAAGAGACTCACTTAATCTAACTGCAAGAATCTTAGTGATAATCTTATATAAAACATTGCATAGAGAAATAGGTCTAAACTCCCCAACTTTAGTAGCTTCTTTCTTCTTTGGTATAAGTGTAATGAAGGTGCTGTTAATACCTTTTCCCAAAGCTAGATTTTGAAAAAATTAAAGTACAGCATTAGTGACATCTTCACCCAGAATTCTCCAGTATTGTTGATAAAACCTCGATGTAAACCCATAAAGTCCAGGGGCTCTATCAGCTCCCATGCCAAACACAATTTGCTTGACCTCCAACCATGTGATAGGAACCTCAAGGGCAGTATCATCTTCCACTGACAATTTCTTCTTAATAAAATTTTCTGATACATGGATATCAGCACAATTAGGTTCTATAAACAGCTCCCTAAAATAGTCAATCAACCTCTCCTAAATAATATTTGAGTCATGAATGATTATTCCATCCCCATCCTCCAACACTGTGATATTATTACATGCTCTATGTTGCTTGATCTTTTGGTAAAAGAACTTTGAATTTCTGTCAAGGTCTTTAACCCATTTAGTTCTAGCCTTCTGAGCAAGGATCACAGCCTCATTAGTTAAAGCAAATTCAAATTCCATCCTAGCATTGAATTGCTTTTGGATACTCTCAACATCCATTAGATTTTGCTGAACTTCCATTTGCATTGGCAGGCTTCAAGATTACTTCTAGCTTTGCAAACACCTTCAAACACAGAACCAAACTTCATTGTATTCCAATTTTTAACAGCAGCCTTTGTGATCTTCAATTTCTGCCACAAAATCTGAATTGGATCTCCTTTAACTTTCCTCTTCCAAGCCTCTTCCACCACTTGAGAAATTGCAGGTTGAGATTCCACACTTGAAGAAATCTAAATGGTTTAGGGCCTAAAGCAATTTTATCTTGACATTGCACGCACAATCCCAGTGATCAGAAATTAAATGAGGGGTTAACAATACTTGAGATGTAGGAAAGGAGTTTTGCCAAACATCATTCATAAGAGCTCTATCCAATTGACCATAAATCATTTGCCTACCAAACTGATTATCACACCAAGTGTGACTTCCATTCAAAACTAGTATATCAATAATACCTAGAACATCAATCAAATGGTTAAATTCTATGAACCCTAGGAGGATGGTCTTTCCCCGGCCCCCTTCTTTTCATGATTATACCTCACAATATTCCAATCACCAATTAAAATCCAAGCCCTATGAACAATCTGAAAAAAATTTAACAAATCACTCCACAACTGTCTTCTTTCAACCACATACAGCATATGCAATAGCCACAAAAAAACTTCACTCCTTTGGTTACTCAACATAAGATTATTTTCCCTTTAGTTAGTCCACATAGGATTATTTTCCCATCAATCTCTTTCAAGCTCCAAATGTAATTATTGTAGAAAAATGGGACGTAGGATATATGCATGTCCATTTTTACTGCTGATAATCACTTTTGCGTAGTGGTACCCCCAATTATTTTTCTGTCATATTTGTAATTTTGTTTAGTGGCTTTTATTCTCAAATTTTTAAATTTTTTTTTCCCCTTTGCATCGTATTTATAATATAGGCTTGAAAATTAGTCAAAAGGTTGTCCTTTGCTTGAGTGATAATTATTGCTATAGCTCAAAGACAAAAGATAATCACTGCTAATTGCTCTAGAAAAGCTTTCGAAAAGGTGAAAAGGGTAAGAAAACTCTGTGTACATTTTACTAGTCGTTACTGCGAAACATCAATTACTTTTGTTTTGGTTTAAATGAAACATCCAAGTACTTGCATCCAGCGTGTTTGCCCAAATTGATACAAACATGGTAATTTAAAGCATGGGATGTACATAGATGATATGGGATTGATTTGTCTATCCCAAGTAGTCTGATTCAGATACTCTTAAGACAGAAAAAATTATGTTCTGAGAATTTATTCTACGTGACTATGTAACAACGGTCAGTCCAGGTAATTTTAACATTCATGAACATTCTACACATAAAACTTTATGAAAAAAAAAAACTGTTATCAGAAAATTAAACCAAACAAATTTTTATTTCTTTGACAATGGCGAACTTTCAGCTATGGTCTCCAAAGCAGGAGCCCACGATCTTTGCCTCGAGTACCTCTCAAGTGGCTCTGAAGTGCTCGATGAAGAATCCGACGTCTTGGCATCGGAAGGGAACATGCAGCTGAAATCACCGATGATCGGAAAAATCTTGGCAAAGTTCAAACTTCCATTCTTCAATGCTTTGGAAGCCTTGTGTGTGACACAGCTCAGCTCCTCATTTGTTAGGACTGAGTATAGCATTTCCATGGGGAGAAGAAAGTAGAGTTTGCGGCGTTGAAGCTCTTCGTCGGCTGAAAGTCCCGGAATCCGATGACCTACTTGGAGATGGGTGGAGTCACAGACAAATTGTCCAGGGTTCTCTACCATGAGCTCACCCACTCTCATTGGCCTTGTGTAGATTTCCAATCTTCCTTCGCTGAATATCATCACCTTCACTACACCACTGGAGATTATTGAAGGTGCACAAGATGCTGCATTACCCATGAGACTGTGTGTGTGTGTGTGTGTGTGTGAGTGAGTGAGTGAGAGAGAGAGAGAGAGATGGTAGGAAATACTGAGCAGGTGAGGACTTTGGTTGATAGTCTGTCAGTTGAGAAGAACCATAAATTTATGCATGTAAGATGTTAGTTGAGAGAGAGATGGTCAGCATTTGTCCTTGTTGATTTAATTTAATGAATATCATTTTTTATTTTCCTCAATTTCATTTAATAAGCTAGATGGTGTGAGAGATAGAGAGAGGGAGAGAGAGAGAGAAATGGTCAGCATTTGTCCTTTTTGATTTAATTTATTGGAATTTTTTTTTTTTTTTGGATTAATTTTATTTAATATGATGGTGAGAGGTGATGTTTCATTTTATTTTTCTCATATGATAAATATAATTAATCAAATTAAATAACTCAAAAGATGAACCCCACAAAAAATGGGTGGATATTTTAAAGATGTCACTAATAAAATTCAATGTATGGATTATTGACATTGATTGGGATACACTGCTCAAATCACCTGTACCATTGTACCAAAGTATAATAAATAAACTACATAAATGATGAATGATATGGAAAACGGATTTAAGGTCGGGTCTTAATTTAAAGGAAAGATTGTTTAGTTGTGATATAAAAAATTTCAAATGCCGATAACAGAAGTCTCATGTAATAGAATTAACTCTATTTATCACCAACATACTCAAGTTAAGAAGAAAAAACAAAAGAATGAATAAATATGTATATAGATATATATATATATATTTCACTATTTCAGTACAAGGAATTAGATATAGAGGTGACTTTAGCGACTTCCTTTCACAATTTTTTATTTAGGTGAGCACATGGTGAGGGATGGAGAAAATTTTGGGCAATGCAGGAGAGCTCGCTTAAGGACACCACCTACCTAATGATAGGGCATGGTGGCAAGCAATTTTTCAATATTATTCTTTATAGAAAGGGGGTCACCTAACTCTCATGCTCTTTCCATCCTTAAAAATATGTATGTGTGTGTGTGAGAGAGAGAGGAGACATATTAGGATTAGGTACATGTTAAAATGTGAAATATATATAATATCTGAACAGGAGAATCTGTACAGGCAATATCATATATTCGCTAGGTATGGAATCACTCTCGTTTGCTAGCTTGCAAAAATATGTATTCCTTATTTGGATGCGAGTGGGTGATTTCGTTAATAGGAAAATCAGTGCTGGCCAAGTGAAATTGTTCATATTTATAAATACGAAGACAATTTAGAAAATGATAAAAGTTTTGAATAGGTATTATTAGTTATTCATTATTTATTTGAAGATGTCCTTAATTATTCATCACTAATTAAGAGTTCTTATTAACATATTCTCCGAGTTCCGAGCTTTCAATAGGTCAAGCGTTACAAGTGGAATTTGTCTCAAATTCAACTCGGATGGGAAAATAAATGAGTATATATAAGTTGTATGTTAGATCCACCTAATAGCTTAAGATTTTAGATTAAATCGCGAGACATTCAATCCGTTATACTTGGTATCAGAGTCAGACCCGCCATCTGAATAGATAAAGTAGTCCGACTACAACAAGATTAAGAAAGTTTAATTCAAACTTTGAATTAAATTTTTCTAATTTCAAATCTAACCACCACCATGACATTAGTTTGCTTGGCATAACCTCACCTTGTTAACAGAGGTGAGGGTTGGAGCCCCTCAAGTAAGATAAAATTGTGCAGATATGTGGGCAGGGTTGCCTCAATATAATTTAAGATTTTAGACGAAAAATTTAATAGAGACATTTTAATTTTTAATATATTAATATCAGATAGTAATATTTTTATTTAAAAATTACCACTATTTAGTAATTTGTAAACCCATTTTAATATAATTTTTTTAAGCTTCAAGTAAAGTTATTGCAATTAAGTAGAAACTACTTTTTCTTTTTTCTTTTTTCTTTTTGATATATATATTTACACTCTAAATGTGGACCAATTAGAAAATGACAAGTGGCAGGTTCAAATGGAACTTGCAACAACATATTTATGTTCTAGCAGTCCATAAGAGCTTGACGGGTGGCCATGAAGAGACATGGATCACCTACATAAAAGAAAATGAAATCTTAACATTGTGGAGAAATAAGAAGATGATATGTAGGGAGTTCCAATAGAAATTACTATATCGAATTCTTATGATAATGGCCAGTGAAAACCAGACACATGGCCATATAAAGGTGAATGAATCACCTATAGCGAATTTCTACCTAGAGATTAAGTCTTCAACCTGTAAGCCACTCATAGGTTGACACGTGACTATGAATTAAGAGATGAATCCAACAACGAAAAGGATCCAATTGTTTGGCTTGATTTTTTGAATGACCATGCCAAACGATTCCTATCAAAACGTGATTAATCAGATGGCGATTAATCGGTCAATTCTTGATTAACCGATTGAAGGAAGTATGAATTACCCTTCTTTTTTGGATTCTGATTGCCTCTAAAAGATGACCTTTTGGGTTTTGACCGTTCCTTCTTTTATCTTTTGTACAAGACCAATTGTGGTAACCTATGTGGATGGGTGCGAAACACTGACAATGTAATAATTTGGTCATTTTTTTTTTCTTTTCTTTTCTCAGTTTTTTTTTCCCGTTGATCTTTTCTTTTCTGAATTCAATTTCTCGTCACTTAGTGTCGTCTCGAGTGCTCTAGAATAATTTCCGAGACTTTTTCCTTTGAATTGACAACTTTTTTTAAGGATCGCGTCATTTCTGCATTTTCATTTTTTCGACACTATTCACTTTTCGTCTTTTTCTCTATTTTGTCTTTTCCCTGTTTGTCACTTTATTGTTAACTATACTTTTTGTGTTCGGAGTTAGTTTTTGACTTCACGTATCTTCATTCTAAATGGTTTTCACGAAATACGTATCTTTACTTTTGCAGAAAAGTACTCTAATTGCTCCCGGTGTCCATAGGGGCATGGATGTACAGTTCTTCAGAATCTTTTTCTTTTCTTGGGGTATTTTTTATAAATATCTTTTGAAGATATTTTATTTCAGGGGTTTCTAAGAAAATAATTTTGAAAGATATTTTCATTCTGGGTCAATAGTGCAGTTTTCACTTTTTAGAGGGGACATTGTGCAATTAATGAAAGTTATTGCAAAATGTCTTGTTTTGAGCCTGGATTCTCGTACGTGATCATTTTCACTTTTCGTCGAATCGTGTACTCATAGAATTTTCTTCTGGTCGTTTTTCCCCCAGTTTTAGGGTTTCTGGCCCCAATTGCCGCCGAACTTGTTTGGGGCATATCTCTCTACTTGGGACCCAGTTTTCGACGCCGTTTCTTCTGTTGTTCATCTTTTCTCATTTTGGTTCTTTTTTGTTCATGGAGTTTCACCGTTTGAGAGCGTCTGCTCAAATTCCACTTTTCCGAACCCGGTAGGGCCCTTTCGGGGCACTTTTAGGGTTTTACTATAACTAGAATGTCTTAAAGTGAAAATTCACTTTTTCTATCTTCTTCCTCCCTCTTGGCCGGCAGCCATGGAAGACTATGGGACTGCCACCTTCTCTCTCTTCTTTTGGACTTATTCCCTTTGTTAAAAAGTCATAGTACCTTCGTGTTTTATGTTTGTCTTGACTACGCGCATCTTTCCCCCTTATTAGAATCCATTTTTGGCCATTTTTTGAGTTCAGGTTTGAGGCCAAGTTAGGATTTTGGTATGTCCTCTTTGGAGTTTTATGATCACCGTGTTGTCCTTGACATAACCTAGGAGTATCGTCGGATTTAGAGCACTTTTCTTTCGGTGGTGATTTGAGATTTCATCTCAAATGGAGGTAGGGGATGTTATAGGTTTATATCTTGTTGTTTTGCATACTATTGATGCTTATACAACTTGTATGCATGCTTTTATTCATAATCTAGAATTTAATTTAATTATTTTTTATATTTAAGATTTAATTCTCATGATGATATTCAACTTAGAATTAAATTGGGGCAAGTTAGTAAATTAGGCTTTGGTATGTTTGTTAACGTATATTAAAATTGGAGTATTTGATAAAGTATTGCAACTTTTATTTAATAATTTTTTTTGGTGAAAGTTTAATTCCCATGGAAGTACCTTGCATGGAATTAACTTGTGATATGCTTTTAAATTAAGTCTTGGCATGTTCTTTAACATACTTTAATTTGAGAATATTTGGATGAGTTTGAAAATCTAGAGATTTTAATTAAAAGAATGAATTAAAATTTATTTAGTGGTTCCCTTGACTTAATTAAGTTTTTAACTTGATATTTATGATGACTATGACTTGTATACTAGCACATATTAAATTGGGACCATTTAATGTTATTTTAGAAATTAGGGATTTGATTATTATGATTTAATTAAATTCCATTTTATTGTTCCAATGGCCTAGTTAAGTCTTTAATTTGGTATATATAATGACCATGCTATATTGTTTAACATGTGTTAATTAGGGATTATTTAATTGAGATTTGAAATCTAGAAAAATTAATTAGGTTATGTAATTAATTTTCGTTTCTATTGCATTATTGATTTAATCATGAGTTTGACATTAGTAGTATGTTTAAAGCATGATTTTAGACTTGTACTAGATTCATGAGTTATGTTTTCAATATTGAATTATATTGTTATCTCGTGTAACGAATCGCACAATGAAGATTCGACATGTGATGTTGTATAGCGTGTAATGAATCGCACTATAAAGATTCGACATTGTCATCCTATAGTAGCTGTGGATTTAGAGCATATATTGTGTGGTTTCAACCTACTTATGCATGGAATGTAGTTTCGTGCTTTATATATTTCGTATATAAGTTGTTAACTTATTTATTTTGGAGTTACTTGGGACATTGTTACAGAGACATGGCTAAAGTTCGGTTCTAGTACGGGAGGTATGAGTTCTCCCTATTTTATAGTATGCGCTAGGGTGGCATTCCCAGCGGGTTAATGCCCGAAATAACCATTTAGGTCTTAGCTTTATCCAATATTTGATGTCCAAGTCTTCCACTATTTGATTTCGCATTCAATTCCAAGTTGACAACCACTGTTTAATTGTGACTTGTGGTTTTGG